GATCTTTTTATGGTAAGTTGGGCTCAATCAGCTCGTTTTCTAAGAAATGGGCTCATATAGCTTAGCTTGGCTATCAACAATTGGGCTCATTCAGCTCGTTTTTCTCTGCAATATGGGCTCATTTCTCATTCAGTTCCTTTTCTGCAAATGGGCTCAGCTAGCTAGTTTTTCACAAGTTTGGATTATTCAATTTTTTTTCTGCAAATTGGGCTCATTCAGCACCCTCTATGGGAACAAAAAAAAACAAAACGAGGACCAACATCGAAGCTGGAAAATTGAATAATCAATGAGGTACTCAGCTCCTAAGAAAATCTGAACTCTAAAAACAAAAACATAATTATTCTCATTTACTTGTTTGGAATCAAATAGATTAAGAAAATGGGCTCATTCAGCTCATTTTCTGCAAATTGGGCTCATTTAGGTAGTTTTTCTGCTAATTGGTTAAATTAGTTCGCTTTTGACAAATTGGGCTCATTTAACTTGCTTTCTGCTGATTAAGCTCCCTTAGCCCATTTTTGGGAAATTGAGCTAATTCAGTTGGTTTTTCTGCACGTTGGATCATTCAGGTATTTTTGCTAAAAGTTGGGTTTGTTCAGTTCATGTTTCTGCATATTGGGCTCATTCAGCACACTCTACGAAATACAAGACTTCAAATGGGGCTAATTTTGACCAGTGAATTTGGAATAAACCTTGAGGTACTCAGTTACAAACCGAGCTTAAACCATAGATTTTTTGGAGTTCAAAGTGTCTACAAAAGAGTTCAAAAGAAAACACAATTCTAATGATGATTGCTTGATACAAAGAGTTCTACCAGATGTAGCGCATGGAGATACGGGACGCCCAGTATCTAAGAAAAACGTGGTATGCCAGCGCAATGTAGTTGGAATATGCTGCAGATCAAAAGAACAACGACCTAGGAAATATATTGTTGTCAAACCAGAATCTCATAAACAAAGAAGGTGTGAAACTGAAAGTTTACAGCTTCCTTTAACTTGAGAGAATGCCAAAAAGTCAACAGCCTGTCGGGTGACGTGTTCATGAGCAAAATATGTTCATTTTTTGCTAGATTACTTCATATACACAGAAACCGAAAACTATCGCAAAATAGGAGAAAAACTGAAACCAGCGGAGAAAAAAACGTAAAATGAGAAAAAACGTTTTTACCGATATGGAAACTTACAACACATGATTTAGAAAATTTGTAGTCACCGATGTAGATGTCTGTTATTTTGGGAAAAAAACGAGTCCAAAGAGCTATTGGAAATTGTTAATGCTCCGAAGAGATCATCCTCACAAAATTTTTTAAATGTCGTAATTAATGTACGGTCTTTTTCGTTGTTTTATTTTGCTTTCGAATTTAACTTATTTTGATTTAAACTTTTCTTCTTGCCTTTTCTGTTTGATAAAATCAAATTTTTCTTCTTCACTGATGTACTTATGAAGAAAAGTTTGTTTTTAAAAGATTTTTTTCTGAAATTCTATCTTTTAGGTCGACGAAAATTAAATTAAATTAAAGTCGATTTTCGAAATCACTTAAAATACCCTGTATTGGCCAAATTTTCTGCGCCGCATGCAAAAGTTTGAAAATGCGTTTTGAGGCACTTTTTTGGAAAATTTTTACCAAAAAATTGCAATTTCCTTCAAGTTGAGAGAATGCCAAAAAGGCAACAGCCTGTCGGGTGACATGTCCATGAGCAAAAATCTGTTCATTTTTTTGATAGATTACTTCATATATACAGAAACGAAAAACTATCTCAAAATAAGAGAAAAACTGAAACCAGCGGAGAAAAAAAACGTAAAGTGAAAAAGAAAGTTATATACCGATACGCAAACTTACAACAGATGTTTAAAAAATTTTGTAGTCACCGATGTAGATGTCTGTTATTTTGGAAAAGAAACGAGTCCAAAGAGCAATTGAAAATTGTTAATGCTCCGAAGAGATCATCCTCACAAAATTTTTGAAACGTCGTAATTACGACGTTTCAAAAATTTTGTGAGGATGATCTCTTCGGAGCATTAACAATTTTCAATTGCTCTTTGGACTCATTTCTTTTCCAAATTAAACAGACATCTACATCTTTTTAGTTGTTTTATTTTACTTTCGACTTAACTTATTTCTTTAAAAACTTTCTTCTTGCCTTGTCTGTTTAATAATATCTAATTTTTCTTCTTCACTGATGTACTTATGAAGAAAGGTTTGTTTCTAAAAAATTTGTCTGATAATTCTAAACAAGATGGAGGTGAATTTTGTCGTTAGTAGTTGAAAAATTGTAACTGCCAGTGATGTTTTTGTTTTACATGTTTGTACTTACCTCGTAAAGGTCGTGGGGCAAAAAACTTTAGAAAGCATTTAGTAACTTTTTTTCTCTACCAGGGGCGGATCTAGGTTTTTCTCGAAGGAGGGGGCAGATTTTCAAATTTTTTTTTCTGAAATTCTAAATTTTAGGTCGACGAAACCTTTTTTTTTTAGGTCGACTAAATTGATTTTCCGAGCTCTGCCAAAACACTTAAAATATCCTGTATTGACCAAATTTTCTGCGCCGCATGCAAAGTTTTGAAAAATGCGTTTTGAGGCACCTTTTTGGAAATTTTTTACCAAAAAACTGCAGCTTCCTTCAACTTGAGAGAAAGCCAAAAAGGCAACAGCCCCTCAAAATTAGTTTATTAGTCCCCTCTCAAAAGTCAACCAAAAATGGATATCTCAAAATAGTTCAAAGGGTGATTTCTTTGGGTCGGCCGGGGACGAATCGCTGAGGAAGGGAGCGTCCGCCCAACGCACCCCCCCCCCCTTCCAACCCCAAATCCGCCCCTGCTCTCTACAATATTTGAAATTCATTGTGTCCATTTAAATTTCAACTTAGTTTTGTTTGACCAGTTTCAAGGAAAAAGAAAGTTTCTTACATTTGGAATGTTGTAGTTAGGATCATAAACAACAATCTCACTTGTTATGTTTTTGATTTAAGCCATCAGCGGATTTAGGAAGGGGCGGGGGGGGTGGCGGACGCCCTTCTCCTCTAGGATGCGATCCACTGCCAACCCAAAGGGTCCCCCCTTTGTACTATTTAGAGATATCCATTTTTGGCTGACTGACCCTAAAATTTTTCTAAAAGCGCCTCGGGCGCCCAAATATACTAGTTTTGAGGTGGGAGAGCGCTCCAAAAAACGCAATTTTTTGATCGAAGTTTTCAAGAAAGTGCCTAAAAACGCTTTTTTTGGCCTTTTTTCCTAAAATTTGACTGCGGCGCACAAAATTTGGTCAAAACAGGATCTTTATAGTGATTTGTTATAGCTCAGAAAATCAAACTGGTCGACCTAAAAAAAAGGTTGACAAAATTTTTGAAATTTTTTTTGAAAATCTCCACCTTGAGAAAATCCTAGATCCGTCCCTGATCTAAACTATTTTTTTTTTTCATATTTATGTTTTAAACAGTTCTTTTTTCATTTTTAATTATTTTTACTCAGATCTAGAAATGTTTATCTTCAAGTTGTTTAAAATTACTAATGTGAGTCTTCATCTGGCTTAGATAATCTTCATTTCTGTTTGCTGAGAAATCTAACCAGGAAAAGGCCGATACCTTTTGGATGATTTTATTTGCTGAAAGTCACAACCTTTTGGATGATTTTATTTGCTGAAAGTCACAACTCTTAAATTTTCTTGTCAAAAAACTTCCACAAAAAGAACTAGACAAAAGTTGGCTGAATTTCAGTTAAAAATAATCAGCGGTAAAACAGTAAAAAAAGACAAAATAACTTGAGTGGTCAAAACATAAGGTAGGCTTTCAGTGCACAATATTAAATGGTAGGCACTCATTGAGCATTCCATAACTTTGTTTATCCTCATTCTCGTGAAAAAAACGTGCATGCCAATAAAGAAACATTTAAAAGCAGGTAACAAAAAATCCATTTTGTGGAGGTTTTGATGTGTTTTATTATGATTAAAACATCCATCCAATTTGAATTTTTAGGCAAAAAATTGATTTTTTCTGCCGTTAGAGTCCGTTTAAATCCAGTCTATATAAATTAAATTTACGTATCTAAATGGGCTACCATTAATCGATTTTTATACAGTATACTATCTGCATAAAATCGATTTCAAACTCAAGTTTGCCAGTTCGAGCGTGAACTTAAGATTTATAATTTATTATGAAATAAGAATTCAAGCGGGCTTTGATGTAGTAGCTGCTATCAGGTGTGACAAATATCTTCTGCTTATCCAGATATTATCAAACTGTACGACAATAGAGGGATACCAGATGTGCTGTGAAGAATTCATGCCATGGTTTCTAACAACAGATTTCGCACCAAGTCGTTTTGCCTTTTGAGCTCACTCATCAATTTGGTGGCTTCAATGATTTTTTTTCAGCTCTTACGGTAGCTTTTTTGTCATAACACTTTTTTCCAATTTCTTAGTTCTCTTTATACTTGTGGATTTAATTGTGACCAAAAATGATTCCTGAATTAGTTTTGTTCACCATTAAGAACAACACCTCTCGTTGTGAAGGATTTCCCAAATCTTCATTTCAGTGTCTGTCTGTTCATTAATGTGTTTGAGTTGCTCTTCACTTCATCGAGATTGCTTTGAAAAAACAGTGTGATAAGAAATGATTTTTCAGTTCTTTATTTTTAAATCGATATTCTACCAAAGAAATGTTTTGACTAAGGCTCATCATTTAAGTTTGCAGAATTTGAATATCGAAGCCTTAAGACAGGCTTTGCGTAAACTATTATACAACTAAAAAAGTTTGGATCAAGTTTTTATTTTTGACCTGAGGAGACTGTATGGCGCTTGATCGTTTTCTGCTCTGATGCTTGTGCGGAACATGTGCCATCGCTTCCGTCGTCCATGAAAACGAAAATTCCGTTTTGGCTTAAACTTCCCAAATATGTAAACATTTTGCCAGTCTCAGTCGCAATAATTTTGTCATAAAAAGTCTTATTCTACTGTCATAAAACAGCAGATGCTGAGTTAAATCATTTTTTTTTCAATATGCGATCACTGAATTGGAAAAAGTTCTCCAAAGCTCATTTTAAATAACTCTTTTTACATGTCTCTTTTTGGAATTTATACTTAATAATGACATAGTACTGACGTTTTTTCGGTTGAACCGAAAAGCTTCTGCACAGTTTATTTCTCTTACAGTTGTTTTTGGTCTACTTTTGCGGAAATCGGTAATTTGCATTTCAGAGCAGCTGGAAACAATTCTTTTGACTTTCATTAGATAACGCCTTTAGATTTGGACTGCCATGAGAAGAAGTTTAAATTTCTTTTCATTTATCTTTTTCTCCTTGCATGTAAAATTAGAATTCTTTAAATTTGAAGAACGAAAGCTCAAAATTTCAATGACTTTCTGAGATTTTTTTTCTATCATGTACCATTTTGCTGAAAGCTCCCAATAATTTTACCAAATTCAAATTTTATCTGCGGTTTTCGTCCATTGTTCAACACCTTTTTAATAAAACAAATATAAACAAACGATAATGAAGTTGGTGTCTATGTTATTCAATTTATCTTTTATTCCTATACTTTATATCATGGCATCTACATGCTCAAACGAAACCGAAGAAACGTTACACCATTTACTTCTCCAGAATTACGACAAGCGGTTGAGGCCAATTTTGAACTATTCTAGTGTCGTGAATGTCACCTACACTGCTTCTTTGTACCAGCTAGCTGGATTTGATGTGAAAGCCGAAACAATGGCTACTTTACTGTGGCAACGAATGTACTGGAAGGACGAGCATTTGACTTGGGATCCAGCAGAACATTCTGGAATTACTGTTTTACGTTTTGGCCTGAATGACCTCTGGCGCCCCGACATTCTGCCGTTCAATGAAATTGGTGTTTATGATGTAATGAAGTACCGCTTTGCGATTCCCCTCAAAGTGCGCTACGATGGATTGGTGGGCTGGCTCCAGCCAGCCGCAATGACGACCACTTGCACCATGGACGTCTCCAAGTTCCCCTTTGACACCCAGAGTTGCCAGGTGGTGATTGGTTCTTGGCAGTATAATAGTCACGAAGTGGACATACACTGTGGCTCGGAAGAGTTGAACGTAGAGTCATATTCTGACCATACTCAGTGGAAGCTCAGAAGTAAGCAATTGCTTATTTCGTAAGTTTTTGTTACAGAATCTGAGGTATAGTTCAAAATCAGAAAAGTAGGTTTGGAGAGTCACCTTTTTTACGTCTGTACTGACATTTTTTTGAGTCTGAGTTGATCATTTTGCTAATAGTTTGAGCGCTTTGGAAACGTTTAGAAATCATTTCTGAGAAGAAATATTGTTCGTAGCAGACATAATTTCTGCTCTGCCATTTATCAAACGTTTCGGCTAAAATAGTACTTTATCCACCTCGGAAAAGCTAACTTGTATTATGATTCAGAGACGTCATGTGAAAGGCGTAGCACGGAGTGGGAATCGGGCAGCTACAGCGACCTCATCTTCTGGGTGGATTTCCAGCGCCTCAACGATTTCTATACTCGCAATCTCCTGCTCCCAAACGCCGGACTTCTAGGCCTAACCGGACTCGTTTTCTTCCTCCCCTTTGAACAGGGAGAGCGCATTGGCTTCGGAGTTACTCTAACTCTATCACTATGTGTGAACCTGATGATTGTAACCGAGTACATTCCTGAAACCTCAAAAACTATCCCAGACGTCTGCAATTACTTTTTGGCATCTATTGCTCTATCTGGAATTGCAATTATACTGGCAATTATATCAATAAATATCCATGTTTCATATGTCAACAAGCCTGAAAAACCGTCAAAACTAATAAATGAGCGTGACATTTCCCTGAATGGCCTTGGAAATAAGGCCGCAGAATCAACTGGACCTGCACCTGAAAACAAAAATGCCCCTGCTGAAAGCACTTCTAAAGAAACGAATTACAAAAGTAGTGCAGGAGGAAGTATTTGTACGTCTACATCCAGCAAAACAGATCTGATTGAAGTCAGATTCGAGCAAGGCAATGAAAAGCATGAAGGCGTAAACATTTTAGCGACAGTGATCAAATACGCCGACTTTGTCTTGGGAACCGTTTATTTCATCGGAACAAATTTGTACTCTATCATTTTCATATATTCACTGTCTCGACACGATGCATGAAATTTGGAAACATGTATCCAGCAAAGAATAATGTCTGACTCTCAAATGAAACTCAAACAAACAGCTGTTTAAGAAACTGTCTACGATGCTGAAAGTTGCGCTCAGGCAATAATTTGACGAAGAATTTGATGACGATTAGTTTAGTTATCAAAATTTCTTTGCTTTACTTTAGGCTAAGTTACATAAATTTGATCAGATAAAATCTTCAGATATCTTTGATAAGCGTAAGATATAAGAAAACTTTTATATTCGACGATGCATAAAGTTTATCTAAATTATTTTTTACGAACGTATTGATAAACCTAATTTTTACATCGTCACTTAAAAAATGAGATGCAAACGTCGGCAAACAGAAATTTTTGCTTCGAAAAGTCCTAAAATGCAGAAAAAGGCAAGATAAAGGCAGTTAGTTACAGAGAAAATAATCGATTAAACTACAATTATAATTGTACGTCAATCGAAAGTATAAATAAACCGACTTTCGAAGAAAGTGCGCAATATTTTTGCTTGATGTGGTTTTTTTATTCAGTCAATTTTCGACTGAATAACTAAGCGTTTTGACAGAATTTTTTATACCATCTGAGAGATGATGTTATCCTGAGCTTAAATTTAAAAAGATATTTTAACTGTGACAGGCGTTTGAAAATGGATAATTTGGTCAAATTGGGATAATTACAGTGCGATATTTTGCGTACTTATAACACGAGTAAGAATCAAACAAGACTATTTGTATATCAGGGCGAAGCCCTGAACATTCCGACTGTCCCTTGATTCATATCAAATAGTTTTTGGTAAAAGAAAATATTGAAAATCTATTAAAGTGAAAAACTTTGAGTCGTACGGAATTAATACGACCGATTATCTAGCCTCAATTCAATTTGGAACGTTTTTTTTGCGCAGGATAATTGGCCACGCATAAATAATTCGCATTACGTTTTCTGCAAAATGAATAAAATTTTCAAAGCTCGCATAATATAACCCAAACATTGCCAATTTGACAATTTTCAAACTTTACAGAAAAATCGGATGTAAAATTTTGTTTTAAATTTGATCTCAGGAAGTCAATATCTTCAATAGGGTAAAAAAAAATTCGTTGAAAACTTATTTCGATCGGCGAAAACTCACTGAATAAAAAAAAAACACACCGAGAATAAAAATTCTATGAAAAGTCGGACCAATTAATGCGTTTCAACAAACGAGGCCAGCAAATTAATCCTACTATCACAATACGAGACGCTAAACACACTTTTAATGTTTTACATAGCGTGTGGGGGATCATCTAAAAAAAATGAAAACAAAAACTTTTTTTTTCTCAATATTTTTGTCAATTATTCAGACAAAAAACAAGCATTTTAATTGGCCTCAAGTGCAGTTGGAACATTCAGGGCTTTGTCTTGATATAGATGTTTAAGTGACTCATATAAGCCTTTTGAAAACAAACATTCCCCTGCTCTACATAAAAAATAACAATCGCCCAATGGTAATTTTCGTATCTTTGTTTTTTTTCTATCGTAATTATCCCCCAAGCATGACCATACACCCCTTCGAAACACTCAAACATTTCCTCCGTACCCATGAAATAACCAACAATGTTCAATCAATCATTAAGTTTTTGTAAGGTTCATAAATCGATCCACAGATAGAATTAATTTAGCTCTAGTAAATTTACAAATTCTTCTTTGTTTGTGATAGTAATTTATCATTACGGCTGTCTAACAGGACCATTTTATTGAACATTTTATTTTTGAGAAATAATTCGTAGAACCCGGAGGTCTAACCGGGGTAAATTGTGCCATAGATTATCATGCTCAACAAAAACTTTGTTGTCTTAGGTCAATTTTCCATTTAATTAGAAGTCGCACTACTTCCACTAGAAATTTTTAAAACTGCAAGAAAATGCTGGGTTGCACAAAAAAGACTATTTCCAGAATGACACCTACTGACAGGTTTTACATTAAAGATATAACGAAAACTGGAGTGATGAAACATGACAATTGAAAAGATTTTCGTCGATTATAATCAATTAAATGCAACGTAAAAGAATCTTTATAATTCACTGCCCTTCAGTGTCTAATTCACTGCCCTTCAGTGTCTAAAATGATTTGTGAAAACATCAATAAGAAAAAAACAAATTAAGAAAAAACCATAAAAAACTTTGAGAATTTCATTCCCCAAGGAATCAATTTGGAACGACTTCTAAGACGGATTAAATCTCCACTAACACGTTAATGGCCCAAAAAATGGATTTCAATCATTTAAATTTGCCTGATTGGCAATCGCTAAACCTCCATTATTTTTCATAAAATGATTTTCTATTTTTGAGCTCTGGACAGCAATTGTTTTTGGATAATATAAAGCAATCAAAAATTGCCAACTAGAAAGTCGAAGTTTGTCTGGAGAAAAAAAACTACCCCAGGCAAAAATAATTTGTCGCTTTCTTCAAAAATTCAATGAAGTAATTGATTGTTTCAGAACTGATTACTTAAGTATTTTTTTTTGCGATTAATCGATTATCAACTTTTTTCCCAGCCTCTTTTTTACATGCTTTCGAAAGCTCGAATGCAGCTCGTATGTGATCGAGTGGCATGTTATATTGAATCTATTTCAGCTCTCACTATGGTTTCAAAAAGAAGCCTTGAAAAATTTATCTCGGTTTGGAGAAAGAAATGGTGAATGTTTTGCTAACCAAAAAATTTTTCGCTTTACCGCTAAGCCAGGGTGAATTTTTTCTGCTCTTTGCATTTTTCATTGTGGTTGTTTTTTATGTTTTCATTTACTCCTGCAATTTATAATACTACTAACCTTAGTTTATTTTCTTTTTTGATTTTTTTTCGCTTAAATGTTTTTCCTTCTAAATGATTTCGGCTGGTATTTTATTGACCTACTCACCTAATTTTGGGTCGTTCGAGGGAACCATACTTTATGCGCTTTCCTCAGAACTGCACAAAATTTTGAAATTCTCAGAATAGAATTGATACTTCGAAGTTTTTTGATCACCAACTTTTTTCCCAACTTCTTTTTTACGCGCTTTCGAAAGCTCGAATGCAGCTCGTATGTTATCGAGTGGCATGTTATATTGAATCTATTTCAGCTCTCACTATGGTTTCAAAAAGAAGCCTTGAAAAATTTATCTCGGTTTGGAGAAAGAAATGGTGAATGTTTTGCTAACCAAAAAATTTTTCGCTTTACCGCTAAGCCAGGGTGAATTTTTTCTGCTCTTTGCATTTTTCATTGTGGTTGTTTTTTATGTTTTCATTTACTCCTGCAATTTATAATACTACTAACCTTAGTTTATTTTCTTTTTTGATTTTTTTTCGCTTAAATATTTTTCCTTCTAAATGATTTCGGCTGGTATTTTATTGACCTACTCACCTAATTTTGGGTCGTTCGAGGGAACCATACTTTATGCGCTTTCCTCAGAACTGCACAAAATTTTGAAATTCTCAGAATAGAATTGATACTTCGAAGTTTTTTGATCACCAACTTTTTTCCCAACTTCTTTTTTACGCGCTTTCGAAAGCTCGAATGCAGCTCGTATGTGATCGAGTGGCGTGTTATATTGAATCTATTTCAGTTCTCACTCGGGTTTCAAAAAGAAGCCGTGAAAAATTTATCTCGGTTTGGAGAAAGAAACATTTTTTGCTTTACCGCTAAGCCAGGGTGAAAAATCAACCCTAGCCTCCAAACTTTTTGGTGCGGCTACTAGAGGAAAAGAAAGAGGAAGAGAAAGAGAAAGAGAAAGAGTAAGAGAGAGAGAGAGAGAGAGAGAGAGAGCGAGGAGAGAGAGAGAGAGAGAGAGAGAGAGAGAGAGAGAGAAAGAATGAACCTCTGGGGCTCTGTTTTTTTTGCAACGCAATCTCAAAGAAAGCTCAAATTAAAAAATAAATTAATTGTAGTATCAAATTCAGGAGGTTTGACTCGTTATTTGAATTTAACAAATGAAAAATCGATAAACATAGTTCTGACATTTTCTCGTCAAGTTGATTTAAAAAACGCTTTTTGTTTTGTACTGACAACAAATAAATTCTAACTGGAATGTTTAAGAATATTATAAAAAAGCCCTTATCATTCAGTTTTGAAAAAAAAAACAATCAGCAATTACGCATACGATTAGCAAGCATTATCAAATCGGTTTTCCTTTTTTTTCAGGTTAACAACTTGTTAAATAGAGTCACTTGGTATCATGGTCCCTAATGAATTCAAACCTCGAAGCATCTCGTCTCCGGCACACTTAGTCTGGAGGAAACAATCACGTCTAGGACGGCGAAGTTCCAGGGTTTGAATCTGACCAGGAGCCGTTTTTTTAAATGGGGAATTCTCCGTTTCTAAAAGTTTGCCAGTTCATTATGTATCTGCTTATGTTTTTTCGGCCTATTTGCCACATCTTAGAATTTTTTCTGCTCGTTGCATTTTTCATTGTTGTTGTTTTTTATGTTTTCATTTACTCATGCAATTTATAATTCTTCTGACCTTGGTTTATTTTCCTTTTTGATTTTTTTTTCGCTTAAACATTATTCGTTCTAAATGATTTCGGCTGATATTTTATTGACTGACTCACCTAAGTTTGGGTCGTTCGAGGGAACGATAATTTGTGTGCTTTCCTCCGAACTGCAAAAAATGTTAAAATTCTCAGAAAAGAATTGATACTTCGAAGTTTTTCTTGACAACAATTTTATTTTCGCTGAAAAAGTGTTTTTGTATTTTTAGTAAACGCCGTTGAATGTAATTCTTGACGTGTTTTTCATCGAATAATTTCATCATTCCTGATAAAGTTTTGAAGTAAATTTATTTGAACCTAGTGGCTCTCTTTTTTTCCTGTCTGCTAGCTTGCAATGCTTTTTTTGTAGTGTCGTAAGTGATGCGAAGCTCCACTTCGCCTCTCTGTCATGAAATGTAAAACCTGTGGTCGAGTCGAGACTAATCTGGTTTACTTGCACAAGAGTCTGATAGGGGTGCTGAACTATGGTATGAAGTTAAAATATTTTCAGTCATCATTTTTATCAAACAAATTCCCTCAGTGACAACTTTTTTGTTACCTACCTATATTTGATTTTTGTTCATGTTTTTTAGATAATTGAATTGCCCTATTTTTAAAACACTTGTTATGAAAATTAAAAAAACACAGGAAGGAACAAAAGCACAGGGATTAACTTTGTTGGGGGTCTTAAATGTTTTTACCTCTCCCCGGCAATTTTTGTTGCATCCCTTCCTCACAAACGCACGTATAACCCTGAAACCCTCACACGCATAACCAAACCCTCGCTCTTATAATCTTTACCCC